TCAGCCAAAGTGAGCAATTCCCAAAGTCAGCCAAGTTATTTTAGTATGCTGGGAAGAGGGGAAAAACTTTCTCCATTGTGACTCTAAAAATGAAAAAGTAAATATTGCCTGCCCTTTCAATGATATCTCAAATCTGCTATCTAAAGCAAATTCCTTTAGAACGGTGTTTCTCAACCTTGCTAATGCCACGACCCCTTAAATACAGTTTCTCGTGTTGTGATGACCCCCAACCATAAAATTATTTTCCTTGCTACTTCATAACTGTAATTTTGCCACTGTTATGAATCGTGATGTAAATATCTGATATGCAGGATGTATTTTCTGCTTTGAGTCACCCGTGGGCTGAGAAAAGCGGTATATAAATATAGTAAATAAATAAAATAAATTTTCAGTCACTGGACCAAACTTGGCACAAATATCCGATACACCCAAATCTGTATACTGGTGGGGTTTGGGGAGGGGTTGATTTTGTCATTTGGGAGTTGCAGTTGCTGGGATTTATAGTTCACCTACAATCAAAGAGAATTCTGAACTCCACCAAAGATGGAATTGAACCAAACTTGGCAAACAGAACTTCCATGACCAACAGAAAATACTGGAAGGGTCTGGTGGGCATTTAACTTGAGTTTGGCAGTTGTAGTTCACCTACATCCAGAGAGCACTGTGGACTCAAAAAATGATGGATCTGGACCAAACTTGGCAGGAATACTCAGTATGCCGAATTGTGAACACTGGTGGAGTTTTGGGGAAGATAGACCTTTGGGAGCTGTAGTTTCTGGGATTTATAGTTCACCTACAATCAAAGAGCATTCTGAACCCCACCAACAATAGCATTGTGCCAAACTTCCCACAAAACCCCCCATGAACAACAGAAAATACAGTACTGTGTTTTCTGATGGTCTTTGGTGACCCCGGTGACACTCCCTCGTGACCCCCCCCAGGGGTCCCGACCCCCAGGTTGGGAAACACTGCTTTAGAAGGAATTGAAGACTTGGATGTTTGGACAAGCCTTTGAGAATGTCTAACCCCAATGGTAATTACAACACTGCACTTTTGTCCCATTCCCTAGTTCATGAGCTACAACTTGCACTATCCCATTCCCCTGCTCCTGGTTACGGTTGGCCATGTTTTACGACGGTTCTCACCATAGGTCATTTGGTGCTGTTTTAAGTTTAAATAATTGTTTATTTGCTGTGGTTTTATCTCTTATTGTACTGTATATCTTTTTCTTGCATTGTTCCATGCACATTGTGCCAGATGTAAGCCACCCAGAGTTCCTTTGGGGAGATGGAGGCGGGGTACAAAAATAAGCGGCTGAGGCGGGGAAAGGAAGGGGCCTGAGGCTGTTAGGAATGGTGGGAGTTGGATCTACAGAGACACTCACTGGAACACTTCAGCAAGCGAGAGTCCAAAGGTGGCAGGCTCAAACCCAGCACCTCAATCAATTGCTTTTTTTTTTGTCGTGTCAGGAGTGACTCCTGGTGTGAGAGAATTGGCCGTCTGCAAGGACGTTGCCCAGCGCCCGGATGATTTGATGTTTTTATCATCCTTGTGGGAGGCTTCTCTCATGTCCCCGCATGAGGAGCTGGAGCTGATAGAGGGAGCTCATCCGCCTCTCCCCGGATTCGAACCTGCGACCTGTCAGTCTTCAGTCCTGCCGGCACAGAGGTTTAACCCACTGTGCCACCGGGGGCTCATCAGAAGAGCTGCAAGACAGAGAACAAGCCACAGAGTCAAGACGAAGATTCACTCAGAGGAAAAGAGTTCTTGCCATACATCAAGGGAACCACTGACTGCATAGGGAAGCTGATGAGGAAACACAACATACAAACAATCTACAAACCCACCAAGAAAATCCAACAAATGCTACGTTCAGCAAAGGACAAGAGGGATCCTCTCACCTCTGCAGGAGTCTACCGTATACCATGAAGCTGTGGACAAGTCTACATAGGGACCACCAAACGCAGCGCCCAGACACGAATCAAGGAACATGAAAGGCACTGCAGACTACTTCAACCAGGAAGTGAGCCATAGCAGAGCACCTGATGAACCAACTGTACAAAACCCTATACGGTTCTGGCCCAGCGTATCTGTCCGAACGTATCTCCCTCTACGTCCCACCTCGGAGTTTAAGATCTTCTGGGGAGGCCCTGCTCTCGGCCCCGCCTCTATCACAAGTGAGATTGGTGGGGACGAGGAGCAGGGCCTTCTCGGTGGTGGCCCCTCACCTGTGGAATTCACTCCCCGGGGAAATTAGGTCATCGACATCCCTCCTTTCCTTTAGAAGGAAATTAAAACATGGATTTGGGACCAGGCGTTTGGGTAATCTGGCAGATAAATAAAGGACAACGACGACTGATAGGAATGGAGAAGGTGGAATGAATTTATGGACTCTGAGTTGGCGAACGCTGAGCTTGAGATTGGTTTATTGACTGTGATATATATTGATTGTTTTAACTGTCTTAATTGTTTTAATTCTGTTTTACACGTTTATTTGTATTATTGTGTAGGCATCGAATTGTGCCTTTTTGTAAGCCGCCCTGAGTCCCCTCTCGGGGGTTGAAAAGTGCAGACTACTTCAACCAGAGAAATCAGCCATAGCAGAGCACCTGATGAACCAACCTGAACACAGCATTTTATTTGAGAACACAGAAATGCTGGACCACTCTCACAACCACCATGTCAGACTACACAGAGAAGCCATTGAAATACACAAGCATGTGGACAATTTCAACAGAAAGGAGGAAACCATGAAAATGAACAAAAGCTGGATACCAGTATTAAAAAAAACTCTAAAATTACAATAGCACAACAACAGAGAGGAAACAAACAAGGATAACTAATAACCTCTCGACGAAAGTTTGCCTCAGGCACAGGCATGTAGCCGGGGGGGGGCTTGGGGGGCTTCATTCCCCCCCCCCCGAAATTCTCATGGTGGTCCGCGAGAAGGCCTTACTGGTACATTATTTAAACTGTTTGTTGTTCATTCGTTCAGTCGTCTCCGACTCTTCGTGACCTCACAGACCAGCCCACGCCAGAACTCCCTGTCGGCCGTCACCACCCCAGCTCCTTCAAGGTCAGTCCAGTCACTTCAAGGATGCCATCCATCCATCTTGCCCTTGGTCGGCCCCTCTTCCTTTTACCTTCCACTTTCCCCAGCATAATTGTCTTCTCTAGGCTTTGCTGTCTCCTCATGATGTGGCCAAAGTGCTTCAACTTTGTCTCTAGTATCCTTCCCTCCAATGAGCAGCCGGGCTTTATTTCCTGGAGGATGGACTGGTTGGATCTTCTCGCAGTTCAAGGCACTCTCAGAACTTTCCTCCAACACCACAGCTCAAAAGCATTGATCTTTATTCATATAATGATCTGATCACCATACTCAATATATCCCATATGCATGGTGGTATTGGGGTAATGATACAAAAGGTTTGCTAGGGTAGACCCTCTTTCACTCAGACTCAGCCCCCCCCCCCCCCCCCCCGAAACAAAATCCTGGCTACGGGCCTGCTCAGGCACTGCCAGGCCATCAAATGGCAATCAAGGTGGTCAGTTGAAACATTCACACCTAGCTCCAACAGACAAGAGTCCTTTGTCCCACCCTGGTCATTCCACAGATATATAAACCCAATTTTCCTAGTTCCAATAGACCTCACTACCTCTGAGGATGCTTGCCATAGATGTAGGCGAAACGTCAGGAGAAAATGCCTCTAGACCAGTGATGGGCAACCTTTTGAGTTTGGTGTGTCAATACTCGCTGAAAAACCGAGCATAACTCGGGTGGGGTGTCACTGAGAAAAAAACCATAATTTCATGATATTTATTGTTTAATAACAAAATATATTACTGATATATATAACTGTATTTAATAAACCAAATACTAATTATTTAACTTACCTGCTTTTTCTATAATGCCATATATCTCGGCATTATAGAAAAATACTGGTGTAGGAGCCGAGGATGAAATGTCCTTCTTGGGATGCGGTCCCATCTTCTCTGTATGCGGCCGCATGCGGTGTGTCATTGAAAATGGCTACGCGTGTCAGTGCTGACACGCATGTCATAGGTTCGCCATCATGGCTTTAGACTATGGCCATATACAACAGCAAACAACAGAAGGGAAACCATCAGGCAGATCTAATCACCTCTCAACAAAAAAGATTACCTCAGGCACTGCCAGGCTATCAATTGTTAATCAAGGTGGGCAGTTGAAACATTCACCCCTAGCTCCAACAGACAATAGTTCTTTGTCCCACCCTGGTCATTCCACAGATACATAAACCCATTTTCCTACTTCCAAATAGACCTCACTACCTCTGAGGATGCTTGCCACAGATACAGGCGAAACCTCAGGAGAAAATGCCTCTAGACCATGGCCATATACAGCAGCAAACAACAGAGGGGAAACAATCAGGCACATCTAATCACCTCTCAAAAAAAGATTGCTCCGGGCACTGCCAGGCTATCAAATGCTAATCAAGGTGGTCAGTTGAAACAGTCACACCTAGCTCCAACAGACAAGAGTCCTTTGTCCCACTCTGGTCATTCCACAGATATATAAACCCATTTTCCTACTTCCAAATAGACCTCACAACCTCTGAGGATGCTTGCCACAGATACAGGCGAAACGTCAGGAGAGAATGCCTCTAGAATATGACCATATATCCCGAGGAAACCTACAACAACCGAATCCATTCTTCTTTTCTCCTCAGGAAGGGGCTTCTATGACGCACCAGGAGGAGGAGGATGATGACAAACGAGGGGAGCGCTCTATTCTAATTCGCAACCTGATTGGAGGACGGGTTGAGCCGACGTCACGAAGGCGGAGCATCCGAAAGAGTATAAATAGACGCGCGAAGTTCTGTCATGAGGTGAGTGAAAGAAGCAGGGGAAGAAGCAGCAACAGTGTCTGTGTCAGGAGTTTCTGAGGTAAGTGGCGGATATTGGAGGGAAAGGACGCCTCGAAGGAATGGCAGTTGGGCCCCGCTGGAACTTAACTCTTTTTCTCCATCTTTCCCTCAGGATGACGCTCAACCGCAGCGCCCGCCTGAACGTTCCCGACCGGAGGCGCGGCAGCACGCCCTTCGCGGCCCAGCAGCAGCTCCAGCACCAGGCGGCCCTGCACCGGCGCAGCATGCCGGTCGACGAGAGGCAGCTCGCGGCTCAGGAAGAGGAACCGGAAGTGGAGGTGGAACTGCCGCGCCGGGCCTCGGGCTCTTCGGACTCGCTGGCCTCCACTTCCTCTTCCGGCAGCGACGCGGAAGGGAGACTCCACAAAGTCCTGCTGCTCGGGGCGCGAGGCGTCGGGAAGAGCAGCCTGGCGCGCGTCTTCGGGGGCCTGGAGGAGGGGCCTGAGGCGGAAGAGGCCGGTGAGTGGCAGGGGAAGGGAAGGGAAAGGGGCCAGCCTGCCTGACACTATTGCAGTGTTTCTCAACCTGGGGGTCGGGACCCCTGAGGGGGTCGTGAGGGGGTGTCAGAGGGTTCGCCAAAGACCATCAGAAGACACAGTATTTTCTGATGGTTATGGGGATTCCATGTGGGAAGTTTGAGCCAATTCTATTGTAGGTGGAGTTCAGAATGTTCTTTGATTGTAGGTGAACTATAAATCCCAGCAAGTACAACTCCCAAATGCCAAGGTCTATTTTCCCCAAACTCCACCAGTGTTCACATTTGGGCATATTGAGTATTTGTGTCAAGTTTGTTCCAGATCCATCATTGTCTGAGTCCAAAGTGCTCTCTGGATGTAGATGAACTACAACTCCCAAACTCAAGGTTAATGCCCACCAAACGCTTCCAGTGTTTTCTGTTGGTCATGAGAGTTTTGTGTGCTAAGTTTGATTCAATTCCATCGTTAGTGAGTTCAGAATGCTCTTTGATTGTAGGTGAACTATAAATCCCAGCAACTACAACTCCCAAATTACAAAATCAATCCTCCCCCAACCCCACTAGCATTCACATTTGGGTGTATTGGGTATTTGCGCCCAGTTTGGTCCAGTGAATGAAAATGCATCCTGCATATCAGATATTTACATTATGATTTATAACAGTAGTAAAATGACTGTTATGAAGTAGCAACAAAAACAATGTTATGGTTGGGGGTCACCACAACATGAGGGACTGTATTAAGGGGTCACGGCATTAGGAAGGTTGAGAACCACTGGTCTAAAGGAATGGTTTCCTAACAGCCTCAGGCCCCTTCCTTTTCCTCCCCTCCCTCCCTCCTTCCTTCCTCCCCTCCCTCTTTCTCCTTCCACCCTTCCCTTTAGTCTTTTTTCCCTCCCTCTATTCTCTTCCTTCCTTTCATCCTTCTTTTCCTTCTCTCTTTTCTCTCTCCCTCTGTTCATTTCCTTCCTTCCATCCTTCTTGTCCTCCTTCCCTTTTTCCTTCGTCCTTTCCTCCCCTTCCTTTCTTTCTTCCTTCCTCTTTCTCCTTCCATCCTACCCTTCCACCCTTTCTCCTTCCTTCCTTCCTCCTTCCTTCCTTCCCCTTCCTTCCTCCTTCTTCTTTCCTTCCTTCTTTCCTCCTCTCTTTCTCTCTCCTTCCCCTTCTTCCTTCCTTCCTTTTTCCTTCATCCTTTCCTCCCCTTCCTTCCTTCCCTCTTTCTCCTTCCATCCTACCCTTCCACCCTTTCTCCTTCCTTCCTTCCCTTTAGTCTTTCCTTCCATCTTTCCTCCCTCTATTCTCTTCCTTCCTTCCATCCTTCTTGTCCTCCTTCCCTTTTTCCTTTGTCCTTTCCTCCCCTTCCTTCCTTTCTTCCTTCCCTCTTTCTCCTTCCATCCTACCCTTTCTCCTTCCTTCACTTTAGTCTTTCCTTCCTTCTTTCCTCCCTCTTCACTTCCTTCCTTTCTCCTTCTTGTCCTCCCTTCCACCCGTTCATCCTTCCTTCCCTGTTTCCTTCCTCTTTCTCCTTCCTTCCTTCCTTCCTTCCTTCCTTCCTTCCTTCCTTCCTTCCTTCCTTCCTTCCTTGTCTTTCCTTCTTCCTTTCTCCCTCTTCCTTCCTTCCTTCCTTCCTTCTTTCCTCCTTCCCTTTTCTTCTCCTTTCTCCCCTTCCTTCCTTTCTTCTTCCCCTCTTTCTCCTTCCCTCCCTTCCCCTTCTCCTTCCTTCCTTCTCCTTCCCTCCCTTCCTTCCTTCCCTTTAGTCTTTCCTTCCTTCTTTCCTCCCTCTATTCTCTTCCTTCCTTCCATCCTTCTCGTCCTCCCTCCCTTTTTCCTTCCTCTTTTCCTCCTAGGGCAGTATTTCTCAACCTGGGGGTTGAGACCCCTAGGGGAGTCATGAGGGAGTATCAGAGGGGTCGCCAAAGCCCATCAGAAAACACAGCATTTTCTGTTGGTTTCTGTGTGGGAAGTTTGGCTCAATTCTATCGTTGGTGGTGTTCAGAATGCTCTTTGATTGTAGGTGAACTATAAATCCCAGCAACTACAACTCCCAAATGTCAAGGTCTAGTTTCTCTAAACTCCACGAGTATTCACATTTGGGCATATTGAGTATTCGTGCCAAGTTTGGTCCAGATCCATCATTGTTTGAGTCCACAGTGCTCTCTGGATGTCGGTGAACTACAACTCCAAAACTCAAGGTCAATGCCCACCAAACCCTTCCAGTATTTTCTGTTAGTCATGAGAGTTCTGTGTGCCAAGATGGTTCAATTCCATTGTTGGTGGAGTTCAGAATGCTCTTTGATTGTAGACGATTCATAACAGTAACAAGATTACAGTTATGAAGTAGCAATGAAAATAAAGTTATGGTTGGGGGTCACCACAACATGAGGAACTGTAGTAAGGGGTCACGGCATTAGGAAGGTTGAGAACCACTGTCCTAGGGGATCATTAGCTGGGAAAGGAGAAAGTAGAGAGGGAACATGAGAGCCATGTTTCAAGATTTCAAAGGATGTCCCATAGAGGAGATGGGGACTGACTTTCTGCTGCTCTAGAGATCTGGACACAAGGGAGCCATGGGTTCAAATGGCAGGGAAAGAGATTCGGCTGAAAGGATTAGGAAGAACTTCCTGAGAGTAAGAGCGGTTGGAGAGTGGCATAGGCTGTCTGAGAGTGTGGTGGAGTCTCCTTCTCAGGAGGCTTTTCTACAGAGGCTGTCTATTGGGAGTGCTTTGATTTGTGCCTTCCTGCATGGCAGGGGGTTGGATTTGATGGCCCTTGGGGGGCTCTTCCAGCTCTAGGATTCGAGGATAATATATCAGGCAGGAGTAGGCAATATGGGGTCTCATGGATACACTTTTTCTCTCCTGTCCACCATCTCATCCTTTTGGGATCCAAACGTTTCCCGTCTTTCCTTCGCTTTCTGCCTCTGATAGAGAAGAGGAAGGGGAGGAAAGGACAGGGAGAGGACTTGGGGAAACCTCCCTCCCAACCCATTCCGCTCCAGCCCGCCATGCGGCTCCCAAGTTAGAAAGTTTGCCCATGCCTGGGTTAAACCCTTGTGCCGGCAGGACTGCTGACCGAAAGACTGGCGGTTCAAATCCAGGGAGCAGGGTGAGCTCCCATCTGTCAGCCCTAGGCAGTGTCCTTGCAGATGGCCAATTATCTGACACCAGAAAAGAATTGCAGTTTCTCAAGTTGCTCTTGACACAGAATTTGTTTTTATCACAAACAGTGGTGTGATATTTCTGTTTCGTCCAGCCTGGCTGCTTTTTTTTTTTCCTGAGCAAAAGAAAATTAAATTTTAAAAAGTGTCACTTGAGTTACATTCCTTCTACGTCTTTTTCTATTAATGTCTTTACCAGAACTGTTTGTACAATAGTAAATTTGGAAGGGGGAAATAACTGGAATTAATACAAGGAGAACAGCTGCTGCTTTGCTCAGACAAAGATAAAAGGTTCCATCTCTGCCTCTCATTAGTTCAGGTTAATAGCTACATCCAGCTGATATATTTTAGTTTTCAGTTGGCTTGGCATCTCACAAGAGCTGCCCTGGAACAGGCTGTTGTCTAGGACAAGGTGGCACCCGTCGCCCCAGTTCCAGAAAGGACTGCCAGGTGAATCTGGCTTTGATATTAAGGGGATAGCAATTCATTTGGAGCCACTGGTAGCATTTACCCTGGGACTATTGCCTCAGTCCTCAGAATGGCCAGGTTGCTTCATAGGAAACCTGCTACAAAACAGGAGCTTTTTTGTTGAGTTCCAGGGCCAGAGAAGCAGATGGAAACAGAAGAACGGCCTGCCTCAGGGGAGCATGCTTGCTCCATCCATGTTCAACATTTACAGAAATGACCAGCCACTGCCAAGCAGGGAGCTTTGAGATGGTTGAACAGAAGCTCTCCGAAGCTCTAGGTGCTTACTGCCTATTACAGGGAAAACCAGCTGATCCCTAATCCATCTAAAACACAGACATGTGCTTTTCGCCTCAAGAACAGACAAGCATCCCGAGCTCTGAGGATCACCTGGGAAGGAATCCCACTGGAGCATTGCAGCACACCCAAATATCTGAGAGTCACTCTGGACCGTGCTCTGACCTACAAGAAGCACTGCCTGAATATCAAGCAAAAAGTGGGCGCTAGAAATAATATTATATGAAAGCTGACCAGCACAACCTGGGGATCACAACCAGACACAGTGAAGACATCTGCCCTTGCGCTATGCTACTCTGCTGCTGGGTATGCATGCTCAGTGTGGAACACATCTCACCACGCTAAAACAGTAGATGTGACTCTTAATGAAACATGCCGCATTATCACGGGGTGTCTGCGCCCTACACCACTGGAGAAATCACACTGTTTAGCCGGTATTACACCACCTGACACCCGCTGGGAAGTAGCAACCAATAGTGAAAGGACCAAGGCAGTGACATCTCCAGCTCATCCCCTGTTTGGATATCAGCCAGCACGTCAACGACTTAAATCAAGAAATAGTTTTCTAAGATCTATAGGAACACTTTCTGTAACACCTCAGCAAGTGAGAGTCCAAAAGTGGCAGGCTCAAACCCAGAACTTCAACCAATGGCTGATACCAAATGAGAGACTCCCCCCTGGGCACACAGAAAACTGGGTGAATTGGAAGGCGCTGAACAGATTGTGCTCTGGCACCATGAGATGCAGAGCCAACCTTAAGAAATGGGGCTACAAAGTGGAATCCACGACATGCGAGTGTGGAAAAGAGCAAACCACTGACCACCTGCTGCAATGCAACCTGAGCCCTGCTACATGCACAATGGAGGAACTTCTTATAGTAACACTAGAGCCACTCCAAGTGGCCAGATACTGATCAAAGGACATTTAATCAACTACCAAGCTTGCAAACTTTGTGTTTTGTCTTTGTTAAAAAAATGCAATGCAACTGTTTGGTCTGCCCCTGACACGATAAATAAATGGCCAGGTTGTCCTGCGCTCTGCCTTTAGAGACGTATGCTTTGATGCACGTTTCAGGGATTTAGTGAACTAGGTATCTTTTCTGCGCCCCGGTGGCGCAGCGGGTTAAACTACTGCGCTTCTGAACTTACTAACCGAAAGGTTTGTGGTCTCAATCTGGGGAGTGGGGTGAGCTCCCGCTGTTTGCCCCAGCTTCTGCCAACCTAGCAGTTTGGAAACATGCAAATGTGAGTAGATCAATAGGTACCGCTTCAAGAGGAAGGTAATGGTGCTCCATGCAGTCATGCTTGCCACATGACCTTGGAGGTGTCTATGGACAACGCCGGCTCTTCGGTTTAGAAATGGAGATGAACACCACCCCCAGAGTCGGACACAACTAGACTTGTGTCAAGGGGAAACCTTTACCTTTTTACCTTATCTTTTCTAAAGAGTCCCTTGTACTTTATAGAAAACGTCACAGGGAAAGCTCATATTTCTTTTTCTCATCTCTCTCTCTCTCTTTATAGGCAATACATATGACAGATCAATTATAGTGGATGGTGAAGAAGCTTCTCTGGTGGTGTTTGACATATGGGAGCAGGTAAAGTGTATATTTCTTACATGTTCTATGTATCATAATCTGTCCTATATAGTCCATAGAGCGCCCATGTATATAGAACAGTCATGGGTAAAACTGGGCTCTCCAGGGGTTTTGGGCTTCAACTCCCACAATTCCTCACAGCCTCAGGCTCCCCCCCCCCCCCCCCCCCCCCCCCCCCCCCCCCCAGCCGCTAAAGGAAAGGGAAAAGGAAAGAGCCTGAAGCTGTTAAGAATTGTGGAAGTTGAATTCCAAAGCACCTGGAGAGCTGAAGTTTGCCCATGCCTGATCTGTCACCATATAACTGTTGCAGTTACCTTAAAGAGCTTGGTAAACTTACTTTTGTCGTCATGTTGGCCATAATAGTGGAGATAATTTTACAGTTGCTGTCCCAGAAATGAGATATTTATTTATGATATTTCTACCCCACCTTTCTCACCCCAGAAAGGACTCAAGGCGGTTTTACATACAGGCAATGATTTGATGCCTTAAAACACAATGTACACTTAAATAATTAGTTCTCTAAAGGCTTGGCCACAAAGCCATGTTTTCACTCTCTTGTGGAAGCCATGTTATTGCACAAGTTCTCTAAAGGCTTGGTCACAAAGCCATGTTTTCACTCTTGTGGAAGGTCAGGAGGGAAGGGGTTGATCTAATATCCCTGAGGAGGGAGTTCCACAGCCGAGGAGCCACCACAGAGGAGGCCCTGTCTCTCATCTCCGCCAGTCATGCCTGCAAGGGAGGTGGGACCAAGAGCAGGGCCTCCGCAGATGATCTTAAACTCCGCGGTGGTTCATAGAGAAATACACGTTCGGACAAATAAGCTGGGCCACAACTGTTTCAGGCAAGGGTCCTCAAACTTTTGAAACAGAGGGCCAGGTCACAATCCCTCAAACTGTTGGAGGGTCAGATTATAATTTGAAAAAAAAAAATGAATGAATTCCTATGCACACTGCACGTATCTTATTTGTAGTGCAAAAAACACTTAAAAACAATGTAATAATTAATATGAAGAAGAATTTTAACGAATATAAACTTATTAGTATTTCAATGAGAAGTGTGGGCCTGCTTTTGGCTGATGAGATAGGGTTGTTGTTGTGTGCTTTCAAGTCATTTCAGACTTAGGTTGAATTTGAGTATCCGGCCCCCGGGCCTTAGTTTGAGGACCCCTGGTTTAGGGCTTTATAGGCTAAAGCCAGCATTTTGAATTGTGCTTAGTAGCAGATGGTTAGCCAGTGGAGATGATGTAACAGGGAGGCTGTATACTCCCTGTACGCTGCCCTGGTGAGCAATCTGGCTGCCACCCATTGGACCATTTGTAGATTCCGAACAGTCTTCAAAAGCAGCCCCACATAGAATGTGTTGCAGTAGTCTATTTGGGTTGTAACCAAAGCGTTATTTTTATGGCCTTGCCTTTTCATGGCTTATTTCATCATTTCCTTTTCTACTTGTTTGTCCTTATATGACAGTAAAGTCCAGAGTTTCCAAAACCAAAAACAAGCAGGATAATATGAATAGAACAATGTATTAAAAAGATATGTAATAGATAGAGTAATATAAAGAAAACATATATACAATATGGCAGATGTTTGGATGTCAGATTTGACCAAAAGAACCAGCCCTCCTGTTTAAGGAGCTCCACTGGCTGCCGTTCGTTTTCCGGTCCCAATTCAAGGTGCAGGTTCTTACCTACAAAGCCCTGAACGGTTTGGGACCCGTGACCACATTTCTGTGTACGAACCCACACGATCTCTTTGATCATCTGGAGAGGCCCTGCTCGCGCTCCCACCTCCATCACAGGCGCGATTGGTGGGGAAGAGGGAGAGGGCCTTCTCGGTGGTGACCCCCCGACTCTGGAACTCACTTCCCAGGGACATCAGACATGCCCCAACTCTGGCAGTCTTTAGGAGGAGCCTGGAAACGTGTTTGTTCCAGTGTGCCTTCCCAGAATAAGAAAAACTCTCAGCAATATGCCCTCAAAATGCACTTTACCACTGATTTAGGATGGACTGTGCTCCCTCATTTCTCGCTGAAAAATCCCATCCTGGTTATATTTTACCTTGTTCACGTCAGCATATTTTCAATTTTAATCTATTACATTTGGCCCGGCCATTTTTAAAATTGTTTATGTCACTATTGATTGTTTTTTGTTTATGTGATTTATATGATTTGTATTTTATTGATTGTTTATTGATTGATATTATTATTATTATTATTTAGAGCTTTTATAACCCAGTCTTCTCGACCTCCGAGGAGGGACTCAGGCTGGCTAACAACAAAGAATCAATATACAAATAAACTAAAGCATAATAACATCATAGTACATTAATACATTAAAACACATTAAAATACAGATCAAGAATTACATAAAGCCAATTCGTCAAGGTAAATCACAAATTCACCACCATCCGCCTTGTGATCAACAGTTATTGATTTAATCATCAATTTGAGAATGCTAAGTTCCAGAGCCAAGATTTTACCATCTTTCTGAAAGTCAGGAGAAAGGGGGCTGAATGCACTTTACTGCTGATTTAGGATTGCCTGCGTGCCCTCATCTCTCTTTGAAAACCCTATCCCAGTTATATCCTACCTTGTTCATTCCCAGTATTATTATTTTTTTCATTTTAAATCATTACATTTGGCCCGGCCGTAGGTTTTTAAATTCTTGTGTGTTACTGTTATTGTTTATTTTTTATTTTTTGTTTATGATATTTATTTTAACCATTTTGTATTGATTGTTTTGTTATTGCCTTTGTTTATTGATGTATTGTGGGCTTGGCCTCMYGTAAGCCGCACCGAGTCCCRTGGGGAGATGGTAGYRGGGTATAAATAAAGATTATTATTATTATTATTATTATTATTATTATTATTATTATTAAAAMAASAAGATTTGTAGTATCTTAAAGATTGTTTAGCACCTGTACCCTAATCCTTTAGCCTTCTAGACTAGCACCTTATATCTCTTTACCCCATGGTAATAATGCATAAGACCACTTTCGCTAGCAGGCTTTTGTTTGGCCTGTGGGGGGAGAGTGATTGGGAAACTATGTTTTAATCTGTTTTATTGCATTTGTATGTTTTAAYGGTTTTATAATTTGATAAGTTATATTTATTATTTGTATGTATAATGAGGCATTGAATTTTGCCATAATCTGTAAGCTGCTCTAAGTCCCCTTCAGGGTGAGAAGAGCGGGGTATARATATAGATAATAATAATAATAATAATAATAATAATAATAATAATAATAATAATATTCTGGACACTAAAACATACCATTACATTCAAAAGAAATTCAAAGAGTGACAGAAGAAATCAAAAGTAATACTAACAGCACAAGAAAACAGTGATGCATAGATTGGAAAATGCTCTTTTAAAAACAAAACATCTAAAAGTAAAGGGAATCTTAATTGCAATGGTCTTCATTCCTCTTTTTCGCTTTAGGATGATAACCAATGGCTTCAGAACCACTGCATGAAAATGGGGGATGCTTACATTATTGTGTACTCAGTGACAGACAAAGTCAGCTTTGAGAAAGCCTCTGAGCTACGAATTCAGCTGCGAAGAGCAAGGCAAACGGAAGATATCCCTATCATCCTTGTAGGAAATAAAAGCGATCTTGTCCGATCACGGGAAGTCTCTGTAGATGGTAAGAGAAGCTACAGCAATGTAAACTCAGATGTGGGGCAGATTTACATTTGAGTTGGTGGGGTTTTGTAAGCCCAGGCCCATGGCTGACCTTGTCTTGAGGACACCGTGTCCGAACAGGATCACTTCCCCGTCATGTTGGCTCTGGATAAAGAGAAGCTAGAGAATATTTGTACTTATGAGAACCAGGTTTGTATCATCAAAATAAGCGACACTCACTTAAATACTACTCTCCTGGCAGCTTACATTTTAAAAGGTGGAATACTATTTGGTTCCTTTAATCCCTCCCTAATAATTTTAAAGAATAAAATAATTATTCTGGTGTTAGGTTTTAGGAGAAGGCTAAAACAACCCCAAACACACTACGTATGGTTTGCTTTGAGTTTTCCAGGCTGTATGGCCATGTTCTAGAAGTATTCTCTCCTGACATTTTGCCCACATCTATAGCAGTCATCTTCAGAGGTTGTGAGGTCTGTTCAAAACTAGGCAAGTGAGGTTTGTATATCTCTGGAATGTCCAGGGTGGGAGAAAGAACTCTTGTCTCCTTGAAGCCAGTGTGAATGTTGCAATTGGCCACTTTGATTAGTGCTGCTTCAAGGCCTGGCTGATTGCTGCCTGGAGGAATCCTTTTTCTGGAGGTGTTAGCTGGCTGTGATTGAAATCCACAACAGAAAGGAAGAAACCATGAACATGAGCAAAATCGTTGGGAGATAATGCTTCTGGAACTTGGCCATATAGCCCAGAAAACTCGCAGCAACCCAGTGATTCTGGCCAAGAAAGCCTTCGACAACACATACACTATGTATGTGTGTATAATTCACGTGTGTGTGTTTGCGGTACCTACTGCTTATATGTCTTTAAAGGATAGAGAGAAATGTATGTACAATGAATAGCCACGATGGCAAAATAGGGGCAGATCTTTTTGCAGGACTTCTGGATTGTGTCCTGCTTTCCCCCCCAGTAACTTTTCTATATGCTGCTTAAAAAAACATACCCGTATATACTCGAGTATAAGCTGAGCCGAATATAAGCCGAGGCACCTAATTTTATCACAAAAAACTGGGAAAACGTATTGACTCGAGTATAAGCCGAGGGTGGGAAATGCATTCACTATGGGTCAATTTCAAAATAAAAATAGATACCAATAAAATTACATTAATTGAGGCATCAATAGGCTAAATGTTTCTGAATATTTACATAAAACTGTAATTTAAGATAAGACTGTCCAACTCTTATTAAACCATTATTCTAACCTCCTTCAATGTAAATATACTTATTATTAAAATAATAAATGTAATAAAAATAATAGAGTAAAATAATGAAAATGCAATAAAAACAGTAATAATAGAGTAAAATAATAAATGTAGTAATAATAGGGTAAAATATTGTAAATGTAATAATAATAATAATAAGAAGAAGAAGAAGAAGAAGAAGAAGAAGATTAAAATAATAAATGTAATAATAATAATAATAATAATAATAATAGTAAAGGTAGTAAAGGTAAAGGTAGTCCCCTGACATTAAGTCAATAATAATAATAAGATAAATAATAAATGTTAATAATAATAGGGTAAAATACTGTAAATATAATAATAATAATAATAAAAGATTAAAATAATAAATGTAATAATAATAATAATAATAAATAATAATAATAATAGGGTAAAATACTGTAAATGTAATAATAATAATAAATAGATTAAAATAATAAATAGAATAATAATAGAGCAAAATAATGTAAATATAACAATAATAGAGTAAAATAATAAATGTAATAAAAAATACTGTAAATATAATAATACTAATAATAATAAAATAGATTAAAATAATAAATATAATAATAATAGGGTAAAATACTGTAAATGTAATAATAATAATAGGGTAAAATACTGTAAATGTAATAATAATACTAGAGCAAAATAATAAATAGAATAATAATAGAGCAAAATAATGTAAATAGTAATAATAGAGTAAAATAATAAATGTAGTAATAATAGGGTAAAATACTGTAAATGCAATAATAATAATTACTATTAGATTAAAATAATAAATGTAATAATAATAGGGTAAAATACTGTAAATGTAATAATAATAGAGCAAAATAATAAATACGATAATAATAGAGCAAAATAATGTAAATATAATAATAATAGAGTAAAATAATAAATGAAATAAAATAATACTAATAACAGAGTAAAAGAATGAATAACCTTGACTCAAGTATAAGCCGAGGGGAGCTTTTTCAGCCTAAAAAAGGGGCTGAAAAACTAGGCTTATACTCAAGTATATACAGTAATTGCAAACAAATAGCCCAACTGCAAACATAGTTTCAGCAAAGATAAATGCTAAAGAGAACTATTTAAAAATAAATTTGTAAGTACTTTTCAAACATTTAAATCAGAGTTGTAAGGAGGAAAAAACCTTCCAGCTATCTATTAGGTACTAATTGCGATTTTCTTTTGTAATCCTAATTTTGGCTACATAGAGCCTCCATAGTCTAACTAACTTACCGGAGTTGCCAGCAAAGGCGAAAGGGAGGGATTGTAGGGAAAGCAATGCCTCTGGCCCTTCTTATGGGCTTTCAGGAGGCATTTGGTTGACTGAACATTGAACTTCATGGGCCATCAGCTGAAACCTCAGTCAAACTGGTGGCTTTTGGTTCTTAACTGATGTTCCTATCCTCCTCTCCTTCAGAGGGACGTGCCTGTGCTGTTGTCTTTGACTGCAAATTCATTGAGACTTCAGCAGCTCTGCATCACAATGTCAAGGACCTTTTTGAAGGGATTGTCCGGCAAATCCGGCTACG